GCCTGCGCAGCCACCCTCAGGGGTGCTGGTGGCTGGAAGCGGTGCCCTCGGGGTCCCCGCTGTGGGGAGGAAGGCGAGGAGGAGCACGGTCCTCCTGCAGCCGCCACAGAGGGTGCAGCGGTGGGCTGGGTGCCAGAGGGGCTGGAGCACAGGAGTCACTGGGTGACACCGCTTCAGTGTCACCTCCCATGGTGCCGGCGTCACGACCCTTTGCAAGGTTGGTCGTGCTGGTACGTCACCCAGCTCGGGTCTCAGCCACGGTGGCAGCCAGCGCTGAGGCCAGGCACCAGGTCCACCACACTGCACGAGCCGTGAGTGGCCCCAGCGGCGCAGGCGTGTGAGCAGCCAAATTCTGCAGCCAGAAGAAAACACGCGCTGGGGCTTTGCTTGTGGGTGCAGGGAGACGCCAAAAGCCTGCAACAACCTGCATTGTGGGGACACAGCAACTGTGACTGCTTTTTTCATCTCTTTTCCCTTTTCTGAACTCCCCTGGTCAAATGTACACGACACTCTGGGTTTCGTGCCTCGCTGCTTTTACATACTGCAAGAGCACGCTGAAAGAAGAGGGTTTGTAAGATAATGTCTCACCAGTACTATTGAGCAGACTGCTGGTAGTAAAGAAACCTTTCCCTCTGGTAACTGAAATTGGTTGGTCTGTGATGCTGAAGGACATGTTACCTGAAAAAACACAGACACAGAACATTTTTAGTAACTTAATGGTTTTTTTTTTTTAATGAAGGTTGTGTTTTGAAGCCACTGTTATTCACCCTGCTGAAGCCTGGAAATCAAATTCTAGAATGAGGGTGTCAAAATTCACTCGGCAAGATGCCTACATTTTTGTCCTACAACGTGATGTTAGACAAAAAATGTGCATTTATCAAATTAAAGAATATTAAAAGAAAGAAAGAAAGACTATTAGAAAACACCTATTGAGATATTTCAGCAAGCCAGCGTTGAGCTGCACAGCGGTCTGGGAGAATGATAAGCTTTTTACCTCTTTGATGGTAATGAAAAAGCTAAAGATATTAAGTGGCTTAGCAGCAACACAAAGAGTCTGCCTCTGCCGTGACTGAGCGAAACCTCAGTCTCCCCTGTCAAGTATTGTGTCTGAACCACAGAAATCATATTTCGTCTGTTAGCAGACAGATATTTTGTCTTTCCTAATACAGCTAAGCTACCTATGTTTAAGATCAGTGCTGCCTAAGGATACATTCCCCTTTGTTCTAGCCGTCTCCGTGTTCGTGTCTTCCGAAATAACAGCTAAAATATGCGACTAGACAACGGCACAGGGTTTGCAGAGCTGCCACGGCACTTACGATGCGCCAGGGTTGTATTCTCGGGGGAGCGTGTGGCATTCCTGAGGCTTTGCGGGGATTCGGTGGTGGAATCTTTAAAATCTGTACAAAAAGAAATAATGTCCTGCAATTATCTTACAAGCCTGTACGTGACTGCTTCATTGGGCTCTACTGTGGCTATTTTATACCCTTCGCTTTTCTCCGATGCAAACAACAAACGAAATAACAGAGATACCTGAAAGTCTCCAGTATAATTGCTGATTTATAAATCCAGGAAAAAAAAAAAATCCACTGTTTAAATGATGTAAATGAGTAACCAGAGACAGGAAAATCTGTTTCTTATGAGATGCCGTTTCTGATTGAAATTGAGCATTCAAGTATATGCATGTATGTATGTAAGTATGTAGGTATTAAAAAGCCCCACCAAAATCAGTCCAATTTTAGGGCACTCTAAAAATTCACTGAGAGTTTTGGACATGAATTCAATTCAGTTCTTCTTTTCTCCTTGTTTATGAAGTGTTTAATTTTATGGGGATAAGCGTGGTAGATCTGGCATTTTAAAAAGTTATGATAAAAAAAAGGAAATACACTTAGAGATTCCATAACACAGTGCTGTATACAGCACGCCGATGAGCACTACATGTTATTATTTACATAATGGCTTGTGCCAGAGCCTCTGAGGATTGAACTGATAATGATAATCCCTGTTGTATGAGCCTGGTGGCCCTGGGAGGGCAGAGGGAAACAACTTGGTATGCCTTGGCAGAAGCACTGGTGCCCGTGAGCTCTGAAATCATCCTCAGTCACAGCCACCGGACTGAGGACCCTCGAAGGCCATGGCCCAGCTGGTGGTCAGGGGGCACAGCTGTAGGGAAGATGACGAGTGGTGCAACACACGGTACCTCCTGCAAATCACAGCTTAGTTCAGCACGCTTTTAGCAAAGATTGCAACAGCAAGCTGTGCAAGAGCAGGCTGGTGAAGCATTAGAAATTGTCACAAGGTTTTGGTCTACATGCGTGGCTGTGGGTTATATGTGTGTAAATAAGCACCAGAGTGTTGCCACAAATATATTCAGAAAATGGAAAGCGGCTGCTACATTTGAGCTTCAGCCAAAAGATGACTATCGTGCAAATGCAGAAGTGCGTTGACAGGACCTGCCTGTTCCAAAAGCACAAAGGCCAACCAAGATGTTAAAAAAGAAAGTCACTTCTGGTTTTCTGCTGCTAAGCAGCGATTTTCTATACAGAAGGTTTTGTGAAAAAATGTCCACCCCCAGGGTTCTGTTATTGATTTATTGATCTTTAATGACGCCGCCTTTCGATGTTCTCTTAGCCAGCTTTTATTGCCCCACATTATCTCATGGTTTCATTGCTGCTCTGTGATTTTATTTAGCTTCTCCAGTAATTTATTTCATCTATAATGTACCCACAGTGATCACTACACTTGCCTAGCAACTCTCTCAATTTTAATATTATTAAATTAAATACATCTAACAAAACCAGGATATTCAAACACTCTTTGTTCCTCTCTTGCTGCTGCAAATCCTTGATGGCTTGTAAGACTCCAGTCTTTAACTCAGTGCAACTCAGCAGGGGGATAGCTTCTGTGGAGTACTGAAAAGATGGTACAGATTATGCCACACGACTTCTGGCCTCTGCTCGGACACAACTTTTCCATGTTTAGTAATAATTTTTGCACAGTGGTGCGATGACCATCAACTAGCAGCTGAAAATAAGCACTGCAGAGCTAAAGTTCTTGGCAAAGGCGTCACAAACTGAGGACCATGTAGAGCCGAGTACCTGCTGCTGTACTTTTTGCAGGACACTCCAGATCACTGTAGATTTGCAACCCAACATGCACTGTCAGTGCCACATTTGCAGCACGTGTATTTAGCTATGTTTAGCTACATAACTCCCCTGTTAACAGTCCTACGAAGCAAAGGAGATACATCATCTACTCACGTGCTGTCGTCAAACTCTCACTGAACGCTATGGCATCGGTGTAGCTTTTTGTCTCCGTGGTAGAAACCAAGGCTGCTGCTGAAAAACACACAAGCTTGTAAAAATTGTTGTAGAGAACCCTATCACTTCTTAATTTTTCCCTCTTTCTTCCCTGTTTCCTGACTGAAAAGGTAAAAGAGTGAAGAATTTCTTCCTAATATCTAATCTAAATCTGCCCTTTTTTAGTTTGCAGCCCTTCCCCCTTGTCCTATCACTACACACCCTTGTGAAAAGTCCCTCTCCATCCTTCCTGTAGGCCCCCTTCAGGTACTGGAAGGCTGCCATAAGGTCTCCCTGGAGCCTTCTCTTCTCCAGGTTGAACAGCCCCAACTCCCTCAGCCTGTCCTCATAGGAGAGGTACTCCAGCATTCTGATCATCTTTGTGGCCCTCCTCTGGACCCCCTCCAACACATCCATGTCCTTCTTCTGTTGGGGGCTCCAGAGCTGGACGCAGTACTCCAGGTGGGGTCTCACGAGAGCGGAGTAAAGGGGCAGAATCCCCTCCCTCGCCCTGCTGGGCACGCTTCTCTTGATGCAGCCCAGAATACGGTTGGCTTTCTGGGCTGCAAGTGCACATTGCCGGCTCATGTTGAGCTTGTAACCTACTACCTGAGATGCTGGCTTCCTTCCAACCAGCACCACAAAATTCTGTGTCTAGTCTGTCACCAGCTAGAATACGAAGACGAGTTTGGTGAGAAGGACGAATAAACTTTGAAAAAACATATGGGGCATTTAAGCATGCATTTTTGGATTTCAGCCAAGTTTCAGTTGAAACTGAGTAGTTCCGAGTGCACTGGCTTGTTTCCACCTGAAGCCAGTAGAGTGCGATGAACAAACATAGGTAACTCAGAATTTAGACAAGGTTTCACCAGCTCCATGAGACAAAACTGTTTTTCCTACTAGCAAAGAGAAGTTTTGAATAAGTTAGTGTACAGGAGTCACACCTGCGATGCCTGGTGCCAAATACCAACTTATTTAACATTTTCCTTTAATTTTTTTTGAAGTGCTAAATATTCTAGAGCTGAACTAGATATTTATCTGATATTCAAAAACAGACAGATGGTGGTTAGCAAGTAGACCTCTATTTTCCCAAGAGGACTCTTTCACATTTACTTAAAAGAGTCCATCTTTTCTAACATCTGTCTCATTTTTGGAAAAGTACCATTAAGCCATCTGAACAAAGCTGAGAAGGTGAAATGCAGCTGTAACCCAGCTCTCAAAGCCTGAACATCTCTCGGCTCAGAAATGGAACAATTGTGGAAGACAAGCAAAGACCAGGCTGCAGTTTTAACAGCCTTGGTTTTGTCTCCCCTCCTCCTTCTCCTGCCTATATCTATGCACTCTTCCCTCTTATCAATTCCCAGCTGTCTCTTGGATTTTCGTTATAAACTTGCAAAATAAGAGGAACTGAATCAACCTCCTTTTGACAATGGCAGACTTGGACTTCGGAGAAGCACTAACCCATTGTTGGCACACCACAATGGCCACATGTCAGGGGCATTGGTTAAAAGGCAGTTGTTTCCTGGGCTATTTACCGAACAGAAATGGCTCAGTTCCGGATTACACTATGACTTTGACCGTGTACCTCCTCAACCAGTGAAGATGTGTAATTAAGTGAGGAGAATCCTCTCTGTTCACATCGTGTATTTATAGCCTTTGTCATGACAAGGGGCAATGGGCACAAACTGAGGCAACAGGAAGTTCCGTCTGAACATGAGGAAGAAGTTCTTCACCCTGAGGGTGACGGAGCACTGGAACAGGCTGCCCAGGGAGGTTGTGGCGGCTCCTTCTCTGGAGTTATTCAAGCCCTGCCTGGACAAGGTCCTGTGCAGCCTGCTGTAGGTGACCCTGCTTTGGCAGGAGGGTTGGACTAGATGACCCACAGAGGTCCCTTCCAACCCCTACTATTCTGTGATTCTGTGATTCTGTGAAATTTTTTGTTGAGACAGAAGGGCTTTCAGTCTGCTTGGACAAGTACTTTGCTACCCTGCTGTCAGCCAGGCTGGGCGAGCATCTCTACTTTGGGGATGGGAACAGGAGTGTAAGAAGCAGCAAACTTTAATTTCAGTGCTGCTGAAATCTGTGTTCCTGCCTGGCATATTTCAGTCTAGTCTTTTCATGCCCCGGGCCTTTGTATTAAGTGATTCAGCTCCCAAACAGCACTCTGCCGGGGCAGGCCAAAGCTTTGTGTTCAGCATCTTCCTGCAGTATTACCCCCCACACTGCCCATCGCGTGACACGTGCATCTCTGGGTAGATACTGCTAGAGTGTAATACAGGCTACTTCAGGTCAAAACTGCAGGACCATAATACCCAGCTTAAGGAGGACGTTCAGTGCCCCACAGGCTCGTGAAAGTTCGTCTGTTGCAACTGCTATTTTTTGTTCAGGAGAACAAGGCCGCTGCAAATACCAAGGGCCAAATTCACCCTGGCTGGCTGCTGCCTCAGCAGTGGATCATTTCCCAGCCCACGCTTTGGTGCTGCTACGGAGGGCGAGACGGCGTTTAACAGCGGCTTGCCACGCATTGCCTGCGCTGCCTTTTCACGAGGGCTGTTTTGTCTCCGAAATGGCAGCGAGTGCCGTGCCTGCGTTTGTGCAGGCCGTGCGGTAGCGAGCGCACACCTTGCTGCCGG